GGGTTCCATCTTGAGTCTCAGTATTCCAAAGAGGCTGGCTCGTCCTGGTTTCGGCATTTCCTTTTGTCCCTTGCTCCTTTTCATTTCGCATCGTCTCACCCATAGTTAATAATTTGTAAGGCCTGAGCTATGAGCACTGCCATTTCCCGGGTGCCTGCAAGACATGAGATCAAGAGGCCCACCCAATGTGTAGATCACAATCCCACCAGCTTCTCAAATGATGACTGTGGCAGCAGCCAGGTCCCAGCAGTGCAAGCCAAACTGGTAGTAGGCATCTGCAGCAGCTGCAGCCAGGTGACAGAGGGCCAAGGTGGAACTCCCAATCACACGGACCCCATGAGCTTTGGCGTGGAGTAAACTCTCCATGTTAGGAATAATTTCAGAGTGGCAGGGTCACGTTTGGGACCGATTTCTGTTAAAACTAAGGCCTTTGAGAGATCTGCCTTCTTGGAGGCCTGGAGCCGCTGGCCATTACAGAAGGGCCCCCGGCCACACTGGCCTGTGTAGAGCCGCTCCTCAGTACAGTGATACATCACTGCAAATTCCAGCTCTTGGTTCACTGCAAATCCGATGCTGACGGCCACAGTTGGGCTGGCAGTAAGCACACACTTTGCACTGGAAGCAGCAGATTCTTCTGCAATGAATCTGTGTGAAGGAAACCGTGTTTGCAGCTCAGAAATAATTAAATTTTCCACAAGGTGATCCGTTTCTCTCACAAGGTCTGCAGCTGATGTTTTTGTTGAGACACGTTTTTCCTCAGTAAGGCATGTCACGCCTTGGCCCCTAGGTCCTGCTACCCAGCAACTTTTAAGCAGGATGTTATTTGTTTTCCATGTATTTGATTTTGTTTCCTTGATCTTCCTATTGTTGATTTCTAATTTTATAGCATTTTGATCTGAGAAGATGATTTGTAGTATTTTGATGGTTTAAAATTTATTTAGACTTGCTTTGTGGCTTAGCCATATGGAGTATTTTGGGAAATGCTCCATGTGAACTGGAAAAGAACGTGTATGGTTATGTTGTTGCGTGGAGTGCTCTTATATAAATCTATGAGGTCAGTTTGATTGTGGTGTTTAGTGCCCCTGTGTCTTTTTTTTGAGTTTCTTCCTGGTCACTCTCTCCCTTTTAGAAAGAAGTGTATTAACCACCTAATATTATTGGAGAGTTATCTGTTTCTTTCTTTGATTCTATTAGAGATTGATTTATATATTTTGAGGCTCTTGTTGGAAGCATAGATATTCATTATGGCTAGATCCTCTTGTTCAGTTGACCCTGTAATCATGAGATAACATTCTTTGTTTCATATGCTTGTTTTTGTCGTAAAGTCTATTGTATCAGAAATTAATCTTGCTCATTTTTTATGTGATTAGGTTGATATATTTTTCCATCCTTTAATTTTTATCTTATGTTTGTTTGTGTATCTCTGTGTTTGTAAGGTGTATCTCCTGTAGACAGCATATTGAAGGATCCTGTTTTCTTATCAGTTGCTAAACATTCATAAGTCTATATCACTGCATATAAACATTTTGGAGGTAGCACTGAATACGGTATATGGTCTGGATGGTCACATTTGCACTGTGAGCATCTGGGTAGGAAATAATGCAAGATGATATAAGGACTAGTGTCCCCCTCACAAAGAGGGGAGGGAAAACTTCTGGGTTACAGGGGTAGGACACAAATAAGGAGAGGAGAAAATTTTTCTCTTTTAAAGGGATGGTAGTGGTGGTGATGGTAGTGTGCCATCGAGTTGGTTCTGACACATAGTGACCCTGTATAGGGTTTCTGAGGCA